CAAAGTTATGGGTTTGCTTTATGTTACTCTTAACGTTTTCTAAAGTTTAAGTACTTTCAAGGCAGATGAGTAAGTAATTTGTTAATTTTAAAGGACTTAGAAACCTGAATATAATGGGTGGTCATGTCTGATGCATGGGAAGCAGCAGGTGTCTGTTTAGCTGTATGTGGTTTCCACCTGTGCTGTGGGCCTTCCCCCAATGTGGCATCTCAGTTTATGATCTTAGGAAATAGCTTTGTCCTGTTGAAATCAAAGATAAGTTCCACATGTCTCACTGACTAAATCACAGTGAGGGGAAATGACTTCTCAGTAGGTCTACCTTTATGTCACTTGCTTTCAGAGAAACAGGTTTAATCAGGCACAATTGTTTTTATTTACTCCAAGGGGAGAATCATAAATACCCTACAAATACCAAAGAGGAATTAAAAGAATTTGCACATGGAGGACTACCTTGCACTCTATTTCTATCATGGAAAATGAAAGCTATATTGTTGTACCTGGGCCTCAGCCATTTCCCCAAATCATTCTAGGATTTGTAATACAGTTTTAAGCATTTTCTGGAGGGGGATTTCCCCAGGAATGAAGAGCACTAGGTGGACAAGAATCTGACAGGATCCTGCTCCTTTGGCAGAAGGGATGTTCCCTGGAACCTTGTGGGGTGAGTCTAAGATGACTATGGTGAGGCTTCTTCATGGAGCTGTTCAGTGAGTGTGGTTTTAGTGTGTAGTCAAGGTCGTATGCACCCTGATGTGCAAGGTATTCTTCATGTATGCAAATCCTTTTCATATGCACCTGCTTGCAAGCCCGCACTTGTGGGACCTGTTGGCACTGTGCCTGTGGGAAGAAGTGGGGCGGAGGTATTGCCATCTGCTCTGAATAAAGCATGACAACTATCCCACTAGGCCTTGCATCTTCTTTCAAATGCTGGAAGCCCAAGCCTTTTGTCCAGGGCCTGAATCTCAGCCAGACAAACCTCCAGGTCTGGGGAAGTTGCATGAGTTGTGTTGTCCTGTGGAGGTGTTTGGGCTTTGGAGTCAGGGAAGTTCATCTTGATACCAGCCCATCTGCCCAGTAGATGTGGAGCTTTGGACAATTCCTTGACTGAGAACAGTTATGTAATGCTCTTCTTCAAAGAGGCATATGACCCTGAATGTAAAATCATGAGCTGTTATTCATCCTTCCCAGCATCCAACCTTGACAATGTGTTTTTATAGCGGCTTTCGCCCAGAGGCAGGATCTTTATTTCAAACCTTGGATGTGGGCTGGCCTTATTTACCAGGGTCAATAAAATTCCATGAAAGTAACAGGACACCAGCTTTGGGTCTAGGCTCAAAAGACTCTGAACGCATCTTCCTTTCCCTCAGAACCCTGCCAGCTCCATGAGAACAAAGTCCATGTTAGCCTATTGGAGATGAGACATCTTGGGGAGAAGAACCAAGGAGCCCAGGCAACAGCCAGCTCCCTTCAGAAGCAGTGCTGCCTGGACAGACAGCAGAATATTTGCCTGAAGGATCTTGATGAGGCTAGAAGAATGTCCCACCTGAGCCTGGCTTAAATACTAACCAGCTCAATAATGAGCATGTGTGTGTGTGTATGTGTATGTGTGTTTAGTGGTAGCTAATACATATAACCACCGAAGATCAGATGCCAGGATTCAGCAGTGTGTTAATTACAAGTAATCTAGAAAACATCCTCTATGTACTGATGGCCTTTTCCACTTATTTAAGGTTGGTTTTCTTATTAGCTTATTGTGAGTTATACAGAAATGCATGTAGACATGTGTATGTACTATTGAGGCTGAAACTCAGTGTCCACAGCTTGGGAGGAAACAGACAACCACACCCTGAGGATTAGGGCCAAGTCCAAGTTGCAAAATTAGTATTCTTTAGTAGTCCTCCATATCTAAACTGTGAGGTCAAGGCAGTAGCAGGTCTGAAGACATGAGGTTCCATCATTCTGGGACCCCATTTTTATGCTGTTCCATCTTTGGGAGAGATGGAGTTGTCAGGGTTCTGAGGGGAAGTGCTGTGCCTCTCCCCTGACTCAGGCAATGGCAAGGCCCTACTGAGGTGGATGGCGCAAGGGGTCCATCATCTGGAGGAGCGCAGTATGTTTCTGGGAATGGGCTGGTTTGTTTTTGTATTCCTTTAAAAAGTATAGTTGCGATTTCTCATATGACCATTAAGTATGAAGGAAAAAACATGACTTTCCCAATTAATGCAACTACTTCTAAAGAATAGATCTGTTTGCTCTAAATGCAATGATTCAGCTGTGGAGCGTAAATTGTTAATGTCTAATGAAAAACTCCCTGTATTCCTGTCAAGGAAGTTTTTGAGAAATTAAATTAAAATCTAGAGAAGAAAAATTAATGTTAAGAAGACAGATTAGTGCTTAGTACTGGGCAACTTGTTCTTGTTCCTGTGCACAATGGTTTGTGCTCTTACTCTTGTTTGATTAAAATTAATAACAAGTCAACCACTTGCCGTGACCATGGCACCAGTTCCAGTCAATAAGTCAAGAAAGAATAGTCAAGGTATAGGCCAATAGTTTGGGACATTTCTAATTATTATTAAAAGTTAACTAAGCAGAAACAGCTCAAAGCAAAACTCGAACTGAAATGCTTGCTTATGCATAAGCCAAGACACATTCTTCTATTCTAATTGTTTCTTTGAATAATGATTCCTGTTTTGTAACCACAAAGTACTGTGAGCCTGCCAAAATGAAAAGTATATATGATCAACTTCACAAGATTGGGATCAACACCTTCACTTTGGTGTCTGTGTTGTTTCTCCACCCCCCTTTTGCCAACTCCTCACCAGATCTCCTGAGACCCCCTGTTGGAGCTGGACTCCGACAGGGAAGATGCATTTAGGGTCTTTTGAGTCTAGACCCAAAGCTGGTTCATGGCATTTTACTGAGCCAGGTAAATAAGGCCAGCCCAGATGGATCATGAGACATCAGCTGGGAAGCAGAGGTGAGAACAGAGACCTCAGGCTTTGAGTTTCCTGCCATCTCCTGGGGCATGGACTCTCTATATGTTGGGCCTCATAGGAGAGGCTGGCATGGAGGGGATGATCCTCACTTGTGGCAGATGGTGGGACATGGTTTAGATCCTTTTATCCACACATACCAGGGGAATCAAAAGCAAAAATCCATCATAGGGAGGAGGAGCTTCAGAGCACATGGGATGTAACTGATTTGATCTGAGAGCAACTAGAAGACTAAAAGAGAGTAAAATTTGAAAAAGTAGTATCAAAATTAGTGGTATCCTATATTTCTAGGTGAAATATAGGGATATTGTTCATTATATGGATCACATATAAAACAATAATACTTTTACACATTGCATCAATTTCACTTGGGTTTTGTTGCTTTGTTGTTGTTTTGTGCTACTGATTAAACCCTGGGCGTTATGCTTGCTAGGAGAATACTCTAAGCTATACTCCTGGTTGTTCACATGTTCTTTAAAGTATTGTTAAATGTGGCTTTTGGGAAATTTAGAATTACATAAATGATACCCATTTCCATTGAATGCTATTAGGACAAAGCACGTTCTGAGACGGCCTTGCCTTTGGAGCCTAGTCAGTAGACAATTACAACAGGGTAAAGCACCACCTGTGAAAACAAAGCAGGGCATCTAGACCCCAGTGATTGCAGGAGCTGCTGGAAGTGCCTGCTAGGACAGCAGAGTCTGCAGGACATCCTGGTCCTCACACACCTGTGTATTGGTGAGTAATTCATCAAGAGCAGAGGAATGCAACCCAATAATGTAGCAGGGTCCTGTGGCTTTTAATAAATAACTCAGTAACTGTAGGAAAACAGCAGGTGGGCCAGCCCTGGGAATAAACATGTGGAAACAAAGGGGGCCCATTAAGAGACTCGTGGAGATCCATGGGGCTAACTTCTGACAGGGTCAGCTGGATCAGTGTACAGGTAGGACTTATGGCCAGAGGTGCCTCAATATACATCCAAGGGACATTTCTTCAGTCATGGAGGCACACTAAGGTACAGTTTGCCTGGTCTTTGACCCCAGCACCTATATTAACATAGGACTGATTTGTAGATGAATTTCCCAGATTGGGATGGGCACCATGACAGCTCCAGGAGGAACCAACTAGGGCGTGGACATCATGGAGGTGGAGGAAGGAGGGGAAGGAGGTAATGGAGGTGAAAGGACCACCTAGGACGTTGACGTCATGGAGGTGAAGGACGTCATGGAGGTGAAGAAGGGTTACACATCTTAGTGGCCTAAGACCGCAAAGGATGGCCCGCATTTCTCCTGGAAAGCATCGTAGGGTAAGAAATGTGGAAGTGGCGTCACGTTTCCCGGTCGTTCTCTCCTCTTCGCGGAGCCTTACTTGATTCCACGTGTAACAAAAGTCTTTTGCTTGGCGGCCTCGTGTCTGACAGTCACATCTTCTTCCCCTGGACACAGAAGCGGGCTGTGGAGCCCCAGCTCTCCTCTCTGCTTGGACACGCGAACCCTCACCAAGCCTGATAGCTGCCAGAGTCCCCTGTCGCGGACTCGGGGCCAGCGGGCCTGGGATCTGGCCTCTCTCCTGGGGGGGGGGCGGGGAGTGAGCGCGAGACGTCTTGCTGCCCCCTGCTCGCGGCCTGAGCGCTCGGCCCGCGATCACCCTCAGGCCCGACAGACTCCGCCTTTCGCAGCTCAGGGTCTCCTCAGCAGAGCAGCAGACAGGAAAGGCATGAATCGTGACATTTTAGACACACTTGTAGGCACACTGTGTGCTTCGGCATGGTATCAACGTTGTATGTACTTCGAAGTCACCTTCGTGACCAGGTAAAATGCGAAGTTCTGACCGGGTCTCTTCCCAGCACAGCGAGAAGCGCCCCCTGGTAAGGGCTGGGCCAAGAACCTATCACTCTGGCACACGTCAGCCAGCGATTGGGTCACAGTAGCTGTCACTCAAGGCTGGGGCGGTGCCCGGAGGCGGTCCTTGGGGGGGGCGCTGGGATTGTCCAATCAGGAGCGCAGGCGGGGCGGAAGGCGGGCCTGTCCTCTCCCCCTCCGCTCCTCCCTCTCCCGGACTTGCCTCGGCTGCCCCGAGCCGGAGGACTGCTCAGCCTGAGTACCCTGGGAGCCCCTTGAGGGACTCCCCTAGGGGAGGACAACCGGTCACCCTGGAGGCTAAAGTGGTGAGCGTGCGGCTGGCGGGGTCCGGTCAGCGCCTGCCTTGGGAACCTGGCTTGCGGTGAGCTGCGGGGCGTGCGGCCGAGTCCCGGCTGGCGGGTGGCCCTGGGCCACCCCTGTCGGGTCCCCTCCCTGCTGGAGACTCCTGGAGCCTCTCAGCGAAACCCCCGCAGCTCCCCGCCCCAGAGGGCGCTGAGCGCGAGAGAGCGTCAGGTGGAGGCTGGAATCTGCCGCCGCCGCAGGGGTCAACAGTGTCCTGGGCCCTCTTTGCTCCCCAGGAGTCAACTGTGCATCCTTCAAACACATATCATTTCACATGTACAGGAAGCAGGATCACAAACCCACTTTCCCGTCCCCCATCCTCTCTTCTCCTAGGGCTATCTTTAAAAATCCAGTTTCTCCCTGCATTTAAAGATTCCAATTTCCCTTTTAGTTGACAGCATTGTGAACTGTATGTTCCCCGCGGTGCATCCAAGGGGACACAGTATTGTAATTGTCATTTTTTTTTTTTTTTTACTGATGACAATTTTCAAAAGATTTGTTTTCTGTTGGTGAATGTTTTCCATAAGAGGAAAGCAGAGAACAATAACCTGGAATTGCACTATAAAAAGTCTTGTGCCTTTTTCCTTTATGCTCCCTAGGCACCTGATGTCATCCTCTTCGAGACTTGAGGATGTGTTGGATGTCTCCTGAATTCAAAAAATGAAATCCACAGGCACAAAGGGTTAGAGCCAAGTAAAGGGATTTATTAGATATGATAGCGTAGGGCTCCCACTGGGGGAGGGGTCCCAGGAGAGTTGCTGCAGCCTAGGAGTTTATGTAAGATCAGAGAGGAGTTGAGTGGCCTCAAAGACCCTAGGTTGGAGATTTTAAAGGAGAGGATCTTTGAATCCAGTCACCCCAGGGCACTAGCTCTAGAGATGTCAAGAAGTCACACTAGTATACCTGCCTTGAGGCCAGGCTCAGTGGGCACGAGCTTCACTCTTAAGTCTCTCCTAATATGAAAGCTTTTTCTCCAGCCTGGTAGGGAACACATCTAACAGCAGGGAAGCCAGTGCTGGCTGGGACATGAGGATGCTTCAGTGACATTAGGGACACACACCACAGCACTCACCTCCCAAAACCACATCACACACCTCCCCAAACCACATCACAGCACACACCACAGCACTGACCTCCCAGGACCACACCATAGTAAGAAATGCCACAAGACCTTCAGTTGTTCTAGATCCTTTCAGACACATGACAGAAGTCATTAGTGAGAGAAAGACGAGAAGTGCATTAAAAGTGGGAATGCCTTCATTTCCCTGCGACATTCAGAGGTTCAGGATGATGCACCCAGAAGATGTGTGTATTAGCTTGACCTTAAGGTGTGAAAACACATTGATTTTCTGGGTTAAATCTTTCATCTTGTAGTGTAAGTATCTATTCATAGTTTGTTTTCTATTGTTTTGTTAAGAATTTTTGTATCTTGGCAAAGAGATTTATGTACACTGATATGTAGTATAGCATTATGTATATGTGGAGTATATATATGTGCATATACCTGTGTGTGTATGCTATATAGGTTACAGTACAGTTTTGTAAGTAAATAGTGTGTATTACATAAAACTATTTTATATGATAAAAATATAAAATATCATATAAAAATTTATATGATAGTGTAATTAAGCACTATGTAATTAGTATAGTACATAGTATTTTACAGCATCATATTATAGTATTAAATTCTTATTGATATATAGTATAAGGTGTTTCCATTTCCTTTTAACCAGCCCTGTTTGAAACCACATATTTTGAGGGAACCAAGAGCACCTCACTTTGATGTTACTGCAAAGCTTTGCCCCCTGCCCACTGTTCTCTCTGCATCCAATGACAATCCCTCTGTGGGCCCGGATGGCTTCCCGTGCCCTCCTCTGCTTAACTCTGTGTGTATATAATACATTTTCATTTTTCTTATGTGACCAGTGGGGGTGTTACGTGTTTGTCAAAGTCACCCTGGGTGCTAATTCATTTGTAGCTAGTGGCATGAATGGGAGGCTGTTAGAAACCTTTGCAGCATAAGCAGAATGGAGCGAACATGAATGAAAATAGCTGCTCAGCTTTTACTAATTGCTCTTGGTGACTGGTTACATGGTACAGAGAAACCCACCTGCATAGCACCTGCACTTTTTGATGGGTTTGGCTTTGGTCGGCTCACAGTTACTGATTTGTACCTGGTGTTGCCATTTCTCCTCTCACATGAGTACTCACATTCCCTACACATAATGGTTCACTGGCTTTACCCACTGAATGCCTTCCTCCCTCAAGGCAGTGAAAAGAACAGCTTCAGTCCTGATTAACAAGAGACAGGCTAAAAAGCTCTGTGGATTCTGCTTTTAATTTGGGAACCATCATTAATTGCTTGGGATACTCCTGGGAGAGGCCCAGGGATGGTCCTTTGTGAAGTTTGAGAAAGAAGGGGATGCTTACCTTGAGAAGAACTAAGTACATCACCTAGTTTCTCACAGTTGTTATCATGGAGCAGGCAAGAGTAGGGCCTTGCTTGTCTCTCGTGTGATGATCCCCTTACAGCAGTAGTGTGCACCCTTCTGTTGAGGGGCACATCCATGATGCCTGATGGTCTAAGTGCTGATTGGTAATGCATGAGGCATTAACCCCTTGTGAAATCTGGGAGGAGTATCTCAACCATTCATGCAGCAGAAAACCCCTCACCAGTGTGTGAGTTGTCCTTAGCACTAATGCTTGTCAGCATGCCAAAGTCTCATGGAAGAAGGCTTGCTGGCCTTAGAAAAATCACTTACTACAAGTGGGTATTAACCTACACAGAAATAAGTCTCATTAATTGAAGGCTGAAGTGGTGTCTTCCGGTGTGGGTTGCTGGGCTTCTGAACTCTTCACCTTAGCCACACACATGCGCACTAGCAGTGATCAGATGGAGACAGTAATGGGGAAGCCTGCAAGTTTGCATCAGTGGAAACCCAAAACGTCATAAATCTCAGTGGGTAGGGAAGGGAAAAGTGTCTTGTGCAGTGATCAGATCTAGGAACCCAGTATCTGATGGCTTGGCTCCCGAAGACCCAGCAGTTGTACTGCCACGGCCACTACTGCCTGTGCCTCTGTCTCAACAAGTGTCCTGGTACCTCTGTGTAGGTGGCTCTCCAGACATCTTGGACCAATGCTGTTCTCCCTGTAGTTCTCAAGAGAAAACAAAGAGGGGATGGGTATATAACTCCACAATGGATCCCTTTCTTCACGTGGGAGAGGCCCTATGTTCAATCCCCAGTACTGCAAAACAGTAAAACAACAATAAAAGAGCAAGTGTAGCTGAGCATGGTGGTGCATGTCTGTAATCCCAGTGGCTTGTGAAGCTGAGGCAAGAAGATTGTGGGTTCAAAGCCAGCCTCCACAACTCATTGAGGACCTAAGCAACTCAATAAGACCCTGTCTCAAAATAAAAAATAAAAAGGGCTGGGGATATAGCTTGGTTATTAAGTGCCCCTGGGTTCAATCCCTGGTACTAAAGAGCTCCAGCAACTGGGCGTGGTGGATCATTCAGGGTCAGTGTGGCCAAAGTTTCTTAGGACTGGGAGAATGTGGGCTCTAGGGCTTGGGAGTGCTGGCCCAGGGGTGTGACAGGCTCCACTTTGTGTCTGAGTGTCAACCTTGCTGCTTGCTCATGGGGACATTGCCCCCTTCCTGTTTCCTCTCTCCCACTTCATGGCTGCAGGGAGAGCAGGTGAGCACCCACATGTCCTGAGCCGAACTGCCTGCCCTTTTCCTTACTGCCCACCCTACTGCCCAGCTGCAGACCTGGAAATGGGCAACTACTCTCTTGAGGATGAGGATCATCCCTGAGTACATCCTCTGACAGTTCCTGGAAAACAGCAGCTAGGGGGCAGCCTCGGGCAGTGTCAGCCTGAGGCCTCCCTCCTTCACCAGCACGGCAAGAGAACTTCTCCTCGGCAAGGATCAGCACTGGGACGAGGACGGAGCTTTCAGTGTTAAGTTCACAACTCCATCCATTTCATGAGCTTTAATCCACCAGTGACTTTGATTTGACTTGGTGTGATTGTGGCCATCACAGGTTCTTCTACTCTATTTGAATGTCAGTTGTTACCATGTCTGACACTCTAGTCACACTACACACATACACGTCCACACACCACACTCTACAGGAAGGCTAAGAAAGATTTGCAGTGGCCAGGTTCCAAGAGGCCTTATGAAGAGCAGAGAACAGATGCAAATACAGGATGACCTATTCAGGTGGTCAGAGAATGGCTTATCAACCCAGGAGCTGCCAAGGGGCAGCTGCCAAACAGGTGGCTTTACTGGACAGCTTCAGGGTCATCTGCGAGTGTCAGCTTACTGTGGGCCATGCCTCAGAGGAGGAGCCAGGACAGAGGAGGGCTATGTGGAAATCCCCTCTGTTGGTTTGTCACTTTTCTGGTATTTAAATTAGTTTAAGATAAAGTTGATGAAACTTAGGACAAGGTTTATGTCTGCCCATGGCCGGTGTGGTGACTGTAGGGGACTCATGGGCTCTGAAAAGTGCCTTTGTTCCTGGATGGACCATCGCGTGCATCTGGTAGTCAGTAAGCATGAGCCTTGTTCCCACACATCCCATGCTCATTGCATTCCATAATAAAAAAAGACTGAAAACTATTAATAAGGAGACTCTCTTTCTCAGGAGTCCTGTTGTTGCTTGTCATTAATTGCTAAATTAAAATACAAAATAGCCTCCAGTAAACGTTCCCACTGTGAGAAGCATGCTCACCTGCAAGCCCAGAGGGTGGGCTAAGAGACACAGGAGCAGCAAGAAGCGAAGTTTCACTTTAATGATGGTCTTGCAAGATGGGGCGGTCTGCGGGTCCTGACCATGGAGCCCAGGCAGTCGATGCCCCTCACAGCAGCTTGTGGAGGAGACGGCCAGGTGAAGGCCAAGGACATGCCACCAGGGGGAGGTGCCTGGGCTTGTCCCTTCTAACACCTTCCCAAGAGTCCAGGAACACTAGAGCTGCAGGGCCATCGTCCTGCAAGTCAGGCTGTTGTCCAGGAGGCTGTCCTCCCTCAGAGCAGGGCTCCTGCAAAGTCCCCAGAGGGAAGAGGTACTCCACTCCCAGGGACCCAACCCTCAGGTGCCCCACACCTGTGCTCAGTCACTGTGCCCAGCAGGGTGTGGGCCACAGACTCCAGGAGCCACTGTCAATGCCCAGGGTGCAGCATGGTAGACAGATGCAGCCTGGGGCAGAAGTCCTCAGAGAGCAGACTCCTGCGAGCCTACCATGGGCCTCTCTGCAGAGGGGAATGTGTTATGTCCATAAACCATGTCACAGCCACAGAAATCAGATGACAGGAGCAGTTTGTGCGCCTGTGCTGGGTGCTGGGGCTCCCCCGAGGGAGGGCAGCATGGATGTCCTTCTCTAGTCCTCAGATATGGTTTTTCTTTTTTACATAGGAGATATCTCTTTGTGTTAATTTTTTATTAGTGTATTATAGTCTTACATGATAGTGGAGTTTGTTTTGACATTAGTATATGTCTGTGAAATAGGATCTGCTCATGTCAGTCCCTAGTACTTCTTCTTTCCCTCCATTCCCTCCTCTCCCTGCTTCCCTTCCTTTCTTCTCCTGGTCTTCCTTCTATTTATTTATTTATTTTTATACTGGTGCTTTGCAGATCTATACAAATGTGGAATTCACAGTTCTCATATGAACACAGCATTACTTTTCATCCTACCATTCCTCCCTTTCCCTCCCTCCCTCCCCACCAACCCCCTTCCACTGTTCCCCTGATCTCTCCTCTGTTTCATGGGGTTCCCCTGCCTCCCCTTTCCCTTTAACTTGGTCTAGCTTCTGTACATGGGAGAAAACATTTGACCCTTGACTTTCTGGGTCTGACTTATTTCACTTAGAGTGATATTCTCCAATTCCATCCAGAAGATGCCGTAATTTTATTCTTTATGGCTGAATAAAACCCCATTGTGTCACAGGCCACATTTTTTTTTTTATCCAGTCAACTGTTGACAGGCCCCTGGGCTATGGACATCAGTCTTCTTTCAGTTAAAGGGTGAAACTATATCATCAATCAAAAGTATTCTATGGCTCCAAAAGTTGTAGATTATTTGTTTCTGAATGAGGAAAACCAGGTCACTGATAGCATGCAGGTGCTTTGGACAGTTTGTAAAGAAAGACAAAGATGTGAAGAAATACACCAAGAGGTAAAGGATAAATAGGAAGCTGTAGTGTCCCCAAGCCAGAAAGAACAAATGGAGCTGACCCTGGGCCAGCAGTGGAGATGCCTTGCCCTCCTAGGTCCAGGCTGCTCTGAGCCCAGGCTCTCTGCACCAGCACCCAGGGGCTCAGGCCCTCTGCTCTTCTTCTGGCTCTGCACTGGCTCATCAACAGGAACACAGTCCCCACACCCCATCTGCAGGTGTGCTGAGGGCCCCTCTCCACGACCTCCCTGAAGCCCCACTCTGACTCAGGAGGCTCTATGGGGCACCAGTGAACACTGGCATCTGAATTTAAACTCTCAATCTCAGCGGCAATTCCACCCTGGACTAGGAACTTTGTATGGGTCACCAGGAGGAATGGGAGCCATGAGTATCCAGGAAAGCACTGCTCATAGGCAGCGCCATCTGTGGACTCAACACTTCAGGCTGACCCAAGTGTCCTTCAGCTGCATAGCTGAGGATCTGAGCCCCATTCCTGTCCTCTCCTCCCTCTCTAGGCTTCTTCCGCCCAAGATGGTGGCCCAGCAGCAGCTCAGTCCAAGCTGGTGAAGCAAACTCCTCTGTCCACTCTGGTCCTGTGTCCACAAGGAGCCAACTCCCTGAGGAATTCATGAGCAGCCCCACCAATGTGCTTGCTGACAGGTACTCTGTGTCCTCCTGGCATCCTGGGGCCCTGCTGCAGGAAGAGGCCCCTCTAATGCCAAGGTAAGATGGGAAATAGTTTCTTATTTTCAAATGAACTTATATGGAAATTTGACGTCACACATGAGAGATGACATGGAGGTTTCCTTGGGGGGTGGACTGCCTCTCTCATCATGTGACACTGGGCCAAGGGGCACACCAATGGCAGCATCATCCGGTCAGCTGTGTGGGAGGGATGTGTCCTCAGCCCCCATCTTCCTCCTGGATCAAGAGGCTTGTAATTTCCCAACAAGACACATGAGAAAGGGCGACTCCAAGAACATCCCACTCTTTCCTTGGGTGGACTGCACCTGCCTTGGGGTCTTTCACTGGACATTAGCTCCCAGCTGTGTTTATAAAGCAACAAGAGAGAAAAGACCTTGGGCTACAGTGCACAGTGTCACCTGGCAGGTGCAGAGGGAGCCAGCAATGCAGGGCAGACCCCAGGATGGAGCTGGCCTTGGTGCTGCTCTGTGGTCCAAGAGGGCATCAGTTTGAGGGTTTCACTTGAAATATTTTGGCATTTTCAGGTCATGACTCTATATCCTTCCTCTCCTGGATAGAGGGACCCTGGCCATGCTGGTCAGTGCAGGGGCAGGCACTGTACCCTCATTTTTCCTCCTCATCCAGAGCTCAGCCTTGAGCAGCCCATCTTAGGCTCAGGGAATCTCTGATGATACACCCTTTAAACATCTGCTCCAGCTCAGGTGAGGAAAAGACCCTCTTCAGCTAATCTTGGGTCCTGCTCAGGGTGTGATCTAGGGTTGGGGTGGTGAGGGGGCTCCTGTACAGTGCAATGTGACCCCTTCCTTGCTCCTGCTGCCCTGCTCCTGTCCAGCACAGGGTGGCTGGGCCCAGATCTTTACATCTATATGCAAATATGGCCCCTGCTGAGAATCCCTCTAGGACCTGGATATTGGTCTTCCTTTTTCGAATGCCCAGGCCTCCGGGAGTGTCAGGCATTTATGCCTGTGCTTGGGACCGGCCTGTTACGTGACTTTCTGCACACCCTATGGTAGAGCAGGAGGAAGAGGCTCATCTTCCTCAGCATTTCACCTCTGAGGGCAGCGCTCCTCTGCCACGCCCTTTCACCCTAGGCTGAGATCTCTGAAACCACGAGCCAGAATGAGTCCTTCTCCTTCTAAGTTGTTCCTGTCAGGTATGTTGGTCACAGCAATGAAAAGGTGACCAGCAAACCTTCCCTATTACAGACGAAAAGCAAGCAAACAGAATACACTTTCAGCTGTAGGATGCTATTCTACAACCAATTTTTCTAGTGAATATTTTAATTTTCATCCGTAGATTCAAAGAGTTATTCGATTACCCATTGGACTGATTTGAATGGACCCCTCCAGTGTGATGTGTCATTCTACAGAGCACAATAGGTCGTCACCAGATCTTGCCCATTGACCTGGGGAGGAAAAATAAGAGAGGTAGAAGGTAGAAGCAGTGAGTCAAGAATGTAAGGGAGGAGCTAGAATAAAGAGATGCAAAACAAAGAGAGCAGTTAAAGTTAGGGAAATGGAGTTCACTGATGGAGATTCGCCACAGTGTGCTCTCGCTGTCTTAGAGGTGGCAGGTGGGCCAGGGCATCTGGTTGTTTTTTTTTTTTTTCCCTATAAGTTGGTCCAGCTCTATTGAAATCTGTCACAGAAGACACAATTCAAATAAGAGTCACAGGTCTTGGGTTGTAAGGCCTGTAAGGCTCTGTACCACTGAGCCACATCCCCACACAAGAATACAAAATGTATTAGTTCAAACTACAGTGTAAAAACAGATTCTAAAAATGAATAACGTGTCCTGATTAAATGTCTGCAAATGGTTTCTTCCTCTGCACTTAACAACTATTATGGCTCTTTAAAAAATTCAAGCAAACAGTTTGGAATTTAATGAGAAAGCCCACATTTATTACAATGTGGAAGGTGTCCACATTCAGCTCCAACCTTCACAAACTACTGGAAAATACTTTGAAAAAATAATTCACCTGTGTTTTTTTCATATCAGGGAAAATTAAACTCACATGTAATATCAGAAATCACCTCTTGCCTTATAAGTGCAAAATAGACTCCCCTGGCTTGAACCATAGTAAGCACAATTTGGGAAAAATAAAGGTAGCTGAGATAGACACTTTCCTTAGGAAGCCTTCCTCTGTTTTTGTGAAGCATTCTCTCAATCATGAAGCTGTTTTCAAAAGAATCCATTCTATTCCCAAGATTATAATTAAAACAGAAAGAACAAATCTGATGGTCCTTATAGCAAACTTCATCATGTCAAGGCAATCCCTTAACTCCTGATATTTCCTTCCATTTCCTACTAATAGTGTCTTCCCCCACCCACTAGGATATGTGAAGTTCTCTGTATTAGAAACCCTTGATTTTAGTTTTTTATTTTTTTTGTTGGCTTTATTTAAAACATCTTTTGAAAAATGTGCATAACTCTTCAAACCCTGCATTCAGTTTCCTGATATGTAAGGAGTGGAAGCAGACATGTCTCTGGGACCATCTGAGGTTTATATAACTTCTGTCCAACTATTTAGGAAGGTCCTTTGATTCTTTACAGATTAGAATTTAAAATAGGAAACAAATTCAGTTGTCAAACACCTGTTGATAATTGAAAACAAATCTATACCACATAGCAAAATTCCATTTATTAAACATTATCTCATGCAAACTTAAATTTTAAAAAATAATCATTCCATGCTCCAAAGTAGATCATGAACCTATTTAAGACAAACATGGTAAAACAAATTTTCCCATCTTTATTTAAAAAGTGTGACATTTTTTTAATATTTATTTTTTAGGTATAGGTGGACACAACACAATGTCTTTATTTTTATGTGGTGCAGAGGATCGAACCCAAGTCCTACCCATGCTAGGCGAGCGCTCTACCACTGAGCCACAATCCCAGCCCCAAGTGTGGCAGTTTTGACTGAAAGGATAATCAATATTATAGCTCAAACCTGTTACTAAGGAACACCTTGTGTGTTTGTGTAGGGGGGTGTTTCTGGGATTGAACCAGGGCCTTGCACACGTGAAGCAGGCATTGTATCTCTGAGTCATGTCCCCAGCCCCAGAGAACACAATTTTAGACCTAGTAACAGAAAATCATCTGGTAACTTGACACATGACCAGTCCTAAGACTAGAATGAAAGCATTCTTTTGTTTTCTGCCCTTTAGTGATTTTCAGAGGAAACCAGGTAAAGGCTTCCAGCTCAGTAGAGAAGACATTGTTCAGACAGGGAGGATGTTCTTTGGCAGACTCACAGGCAGTACGGGGAGTCTGGCACCAATGGGGCTCTCACGACTCACTGTTTTGTGCCGGTTCCCCATAGCCTCCTCTCCCAGCACCATCGAGTTCACAGGACCATCTGGAGCCTGCTCCTGATTGCCCACGTCCACACTGCCTGCCCTCCTTCCAGCCCGTATCCCAATCTGTGCAAGGATCCGTCATCCAGACGTGTTCCATTTACATACTTCATGGCATTTTTTTTGCCTCTGCTCTTGAATAGTATTCCACAAAACAGAATCCACATACTGTTTTTTTCTTCACTTTATACAGACCCATAATGATCTTTTTTATGTCACCACTTTTGCTAAAGAGTTCATAAATTTGTTTTTCAGTTGTGTAAAAGGAAAGATTTTCAACATATGATGTACAACTTTTCTTCAGTAATTTTCCTGTTCTTCACTGTCACCCCAGAAGGGCTGGTCCCTGCACTGGTCAGCTCCACATGGCAGTTGCTGCTCAGCGGCTTCAGGAGGCCACCTCATAGTGCAGAGGGCAGGAATCTGATCTTCAAGTTCTTCATCCATGTATATTATTTGAGCACTGACATGGTCTCAAAAACCAAGTTACAAATGGTGGACATGAGTGAGAAGATAGGCCTGCAGTATGTGGCCAATCTTGCTTCACCACTTGAAAAGGAAGGAGTTGAACCCTATGGACTTGGTCTGGTATTTTCCTCCTGTGAAGAAGTTTTCTTCCCATTGGAGTGTATGTTTCCTTCAACTCCTGAAGTTGGGAGGTCCAAGGACCTCCTGCCTCTCTCTACTGCTCATTGTACATGTGAGAGGCCATGACTATTATTTTATCACAGGCAAGTTTGGTGGCCAATCAACCAACACTAGTCCTTAAAACATTCTCTGCCTGTTTAATGTAAGGTCTTACGTTGGGGTTAGAAGTTCTCATTGATCACCTCTGTGGCCAGACAGGACTCTTCTCTGACGGTATGTCAGGATGGAAGAGCACTTTGGAGTATGGCAGAGGGCTGGTTTCTCCGTGCTGTCTGTAGAGTGACGGGTTATTACAATGCTTTGTTCCTGAGCCAAAATGTTTTTTGCATCAGTTACTCATTTCCCCTCAAAACTCTCACTCTGTGGTAAGAATTTGGTTAGAATGAGCTATTTAGTATCATGAGAAACAGGGCTTCAGGAAGTTCACTAGTCCAACTGATACCTTTAATTGGAGCTTCACTAGGTTTATGACATGGAGCTGCCATTCTCTATTATGAAAGCAGAGTTGCTCATGTCTGAAACTTCTGGTCATGATCCAAATCATTCTCTTCACATTAAGGTGGGAGAAACAGAGTTAAGAGAATAGGGCCAGGGCCGAGGAGCCCTAGAAACCAGCACTTGGTGGAGTCTGAAAGTCAACTCTGACTTCTAGTCCAGCTTGGATGTTGTTGCGGGAAAACAGGGTACTTAGAGATGCTTAGCAATGAGAAACAAAGTCCTCTTCCACCCACTTGTCCTCTTTGGAAGCACAAAACAAATAAAAAATGAAACCCAAGCTGCACAGCCAGGTGCTGCTTCTCTTATCCAAGGTGCAGGAGCTCCTGATTTTCTGAAACATGTCAACTCCCAGCTGACTTTTCTGCATATATTTAAATAAGTGGACACTTACAGATACATCTTGTTCTCTGTAACACAAATAATTTCCTTCACAGATGATGAAATATAAAATTGTAAGTGCCAAAATATGGAAGTAGGAAAATGGAAAGATGAAGGACTTATATAGAATGAGTCCAGGGAAGTTGAGCACTAAGAAACAGAGAAAAGTTTCCCCGCTGTGCCCGAAGAGCCACGATCAGGACAAGGTGGAGTATGAGTGTGGCTGAGTGCGATGCACTAAGCTCCAGAACAGAAATAGAAAAGAGTGAGCAGTGTGCATTACCCTCCAAGGGGGAGCCAGGGGTGACTTTCAGAAGAGCTCATCGCTTCATATGAGGATCTCAAATAGAAAACACATAGGCCCTCATAAAATGTAAATGTGGAAGAAAAGATATGATTTAAGATTGTCCAGTTTGTTTTATTAAATCATATCTTTAGGATCTCAGCAATGAGGGACAGGAAATGTGTGCAGTATCCACATTCACAAACATCACATTATCACTCTTTCATAGTCATTGAATCCATTGTTCCAGGATGATTTGAGGAAAACGCTATAGTAGGAAAAATAGAGGTAAATCTCCAGGTGCTGGTGTCTTCCAAAATTTTGGCATGTACTTTTGTGTCTACAAGTTGTTTTGACAGAATTCAGCTGAAAAGTTATTGTACATAGTCAAAACTATTTTTTCCAACAAACACTGATGTCTTTATGGAACTGTTTCTATAAGTGACAAAAAAATCACTTATACAAATCAGTTGACATTGAAATAATATTTGTAATAAAATGAAAACCGCATTTGACAAGTTGATTCTTTGGAAAGCCAGAGGAGCAGCAGCCCTTTTGCCAGGACAGAGCGTGGGCAGGACCAAGCTCCTGTGAGTCCAGGAGAACGCACAATTGTGAAAAGCAGGTGGGTGGGGGGGACTATTGCAACCTCCACTGTTTTCCCACTCCACCCTCAACGGGTCACTGTTCACACCCTCATGTCAAATACCAAGAATTCCACACAATTGCTGGCATGTGGGTGACCTTTAAGTATCCAAGCAGAGAATACTCAAATTCAAAGGTGATGAGGAGGTCCTCTACTCTTATTTTCAAAGCTTTAACACCAAATGCAATATCTTTAGAAAGCGGTTACCTTTCTTGAGGCCAAACACTTTCCTAGAGTCCTCTGCAGGGCTCCTGTGACATCCTTGTTCCTCAGGCTGTAGATGAGCGGGTTGAGCATGGGCGTGAGGATGGTGTAGAAGGCAGAGACTGCCTTGTCTTGCTCAGGGGTGTGGTAAGAGTGGGGCAGCACATAAGTGTACATGGCGGCCCCATAGAAGAGGCTGACCACCACCATGTGAGAGGAGCAGGTGGCCACGGCCTTCCGCCTGCCCTCTGCCTCACTCATCCTGTAAACAGCAATGAGAATCCTGGTGTAAGAGGCTGAGATGACGGAGAAGGGAATGAGAAGCATCAGGATGCAGCACACATACATGGCTGTCTCATAGGCTGAGGTGTCCCTGCAGGAGAGCTTCAGAAGGGCGGGGACCTCGCAGAAAAAGTGGTTGATTGCCCGAGAGGCACAGAAGGGGAACTGCATGGTGACTGGGGTGAGCAGGAAACCATCTGCAGACCCTCCCAGCCAGGCGGCCACCACGATCAGCAGGCAGACCTTGCGACTCATCAGTACAGGGTAGCGCAGAGGGTGGCAGATGGCCACGTAGCGGTCGTAGGACATGAGTCCTAGGAGGAAGAACTCTGCCCCTGCCAAGGTCAGGTAGAGGAAGTGCTGGGCAGTGCACCCTGCAAAGGAGATGGCCCTCTGGCTGGTGGCCTGGTCCAGCAGCATCTTGGGCACAATGGTGGAGATGTACAGGATGTCCATGAGAGAGAGCTGGCTGAGCAGGAAGTACATGGGGGTGTGCAGCCGGGGGTCCGCGCGGATGAGCAGGATCATGGTGGTGTTGCTGGCAATGGAGATCACAAAGACCAGGAGAATGAGGGAAAAGAGCAGCCAGGGGAAGCGGCTGCCACTGAATAACCCCAGGAGGACAAAGTCAGCGTACAGGGAGCTGTTGCCCCACTCCATAGCGCTGCAGGCTGCACAGAGGGTGGGACTCAAGCTGGAGAAGTACAGGTGGGCTTAGAGCATCATGGAGTGGCCACGCCCAGATCCAGGCTCAGGCTTCTGACCTCACAAATCTTGGAACAGGCTGGGCAGGTGTCTTGTCCCATTACAACATCATCCACTCAGGAGCAGGATACCTGCCCAGCGGCCTGGCCTTGCTAAGTTAGAGGTCCTGAGGCAGCAAGCTCATCTGCTTTTGTTTAAGGACATTCATCCTCTGTCTCTCAAGCACTGTCCTACCTGGAGAGGAGCCGTCCTGCTGGACAGGGTAGAGTGGACGTGAAAAGACTGGCCAGCCCAGCCCTACCCTGCGCCAGGCTTTGGTCCTCACACTGCAGGTTCAAAGCCCCACAAGTCAGGAGCACTTTTGTGCTGTCCATGGGGAGACGACCATGTGGGCTCCACCTGGTTTGCAGGTTCTTGAAGGTTTGCACACTGTAAAACTCGATGCTTGACGTGTTTATCAGGTGCTCAGTGTTGGAAGGCAAAGACTGCTAAAGTGTGAACACAGAGCCCTCACTGTGAGGAGCAATCCAGAGGTCAGCAGAGAAAGGCTGTTAAGGGGGAAGTAATGTTGAGGAACAGGGCTGTTATCTTTCCCTTTCAGCAGAAAACTATGGGTTATTAGCACATAACTTACTCACCTGTGAAGTGAATAAAGGCAGCAATTATGATACAACATTTTAATAGAAAAACAGAAAGGATGAACTGATTTAAATAATATCAGGAGTTATTATCTCCCAAGTTACTTTGCTCTTAAATTTGAAGTCAGATCATGCATACTTAGCCATTTCAGTTAAATAATATTTTACCACAAATATGAACATTATGGGTCACTTGGACAGTTTATGTTGACATTACAGAGACCTACATTGTGCAGCCTGGTGTCCAGGAGTCCCAGGAAGCTGCTGAGATCCTGAAACATTAAAACTGAGGATGTACTGTAACTACATAGTAATTGCAGAGGTCTGGTGACTCATAAATAGTAAGTTACATTCCCCCCACACCTCATGAAATACTAGAGGACTCTCTATCCACTCCACAGAGAAAAAAGGTGAGACCTTAAGAGGGTCAGAAACTCCCCAGGGCACAGGCTCTGCTGGTCCAGGGAAGTCTAACTGCTCTAGGCTGTTTTTTGCTGAGCCAGAGTGGACAGAGAGTGTCGTGAATTAAACATGCATTAAACCAGTTAAGTCATCAGTACCTCACCCTGGGCAAGCCAAACTTTTAGGTTCTGAGTGGACCTAAAAGACTGTGAAGACCTGGTCCCTTCTTGCAAGGAGCACAGAGAAAGGACAGGAATTGCCCTTGCAGTGTGTGTGGCAGGGTGTCCTTCAAGAATGGCTTTGATCAGAATCTCCAGGGTTTTGGCTTCTCTCTGGCTGGTGCACAAGAGAGAAGAGGAGGGCAGAACAGGGAGAGGACAGGGCAGGGCAGCAATGCAAGCGGGAGCCCAGGGCTGCACACAAGAGGTCCAGTCAGGACCCCTGTGCAGTTGGCCACAGCCACCATGGATGGATGTCAATTATGAAGAGTGAATCCTCAGCCTGCCTCGTCCCAGGAGCCTGGCTCCCTGTGCTCTGTCCAGCTTCCCCTGTCCTGAGCCATAGCTGGTTCCCAGCAGAGCTCCTCTCCAGCTGTTTTCCTGATGTATGCCCTTTCTAGTTTTGCCTTCTTTCTCTCCACTGTCTTAAACCTCTGGGGAAATTAAATAAAAACACTCAGCAGCATTCCAAGTGATGGAGAGAGAGAGCGAGTTGCGCTGACCTTCAGCATTTTAATGAGAGCAAGCCCCATGGAGAGCTGTGATCATTAGTGCACTACAGATCCAGGGAATGGCAGGTGGTCAGTGGAGACCAGGCACAGAGACTGCCATTGATCCATGGTGAATGCCAAAGCCCAAGAACACTAATGGGCACATGCGCCTTCCTGTCAGGGTGTTGTCCCCAGCCCTGACCACGAACATTCCTGGAGCTGAACTTGCTAATGAGGCCTTGGAGACTTCCCAGCCTTGCTCACAAAGGGAAGGGAGATTGGAGGCTCATAATTCCTTATATTTTAAGAGCATCTTTGTTCTTCTCTGTTAGTGTTGTCTGTGTCCTGTGTTTAAACCATTATAAAGGAGTATAATAGCACTGATGAGAATATGGGAAACGAGAAAAGAGAAAGAAAACCCCTGGGATACTCCATGCCCTTGTATAAAAATCGTTATGTCTATGCATAACTCATGCTATTCTACTCTATTCCAGTCCATTATTTTATTATTTATGGTGGTGCTATGAATTGAACATGCAAGCACTCTACCATTGCACCACACCTCTGTGCCTAACTTAAACTTTAGCATTCTTCCAATCTGCTATGTAGTTAAGCCCCTTTTCTGTGTAGATGTGGGGTGTCTTCTCAGATTACTGTGATGGTTGATTGATGTGACATGCACTTTTGAGGGCTCCTTGTTTGATTAACAAGCACATTGCTTCTCTGTTTGCTTATGAAACACTGTATCGTGAGGTTGCTTCTCTGGGTAGGTGGTAGAAGGTGGGTTATTGGGCTTTAGAATCCTGTCACCAAAGTGCTAGATGGGCTGCTGACCAGTGATGCCAGCCAACCACAGAGCACACTCAGGGCTCCCTGCTTGCCCAGCTCTTAGCAAGAGCATCTATATAGTCATTTATATGATTTTTATTTATGACTAAGAAACCTGGGAATGTTTTCATGGGTATATTTTCCCTCTCTATATATTGGGATTTGATTGCTCATGACATTTGCCCTTTTAGGGATTTCTCAAAATTGGCCTGCTCTCTTTATAGAATAAGGGCATTCTCCTTCTAAGTGTGATATTTATTGCAACTTCTTTATCCAAACCATTGCTTTTATTTTGACTTTATTTGATTTTAGGCAAAGAGCACCAGCAGTGGCAGCCCCTGCTGGCGTCTGTCCCCAGCTCTCATCTGCAATACAGCAGATGCAATAGCAGGGAGCTGGGTGTCTTTATCTTTTCCCTTTTGTATGCAAAAAATTTGAAAAAACTGCTCTCTCTGAAGAACTGACACAATCCTTGGTGATCAGCTAACTCAGAAGGTGTGTGACAGTTCAGGAAGGCTGGCCTAGACAGGATGTGAGGACAGCTGTCCCCTGGGAAGCAGGGTGAAGAGTGACCCTCCCATAGCCCATAATCCTCGGCATGATGTTTCCCCAAACAGTGTTTCTATTCGAAGTCCACTTGTACTTGTTCCATAAAAGACATAAAACAATGCCATCAGGGAATCTTTAGAATGGAGGAGGAATTTCAACAAAGCCAAGGAACCATCCTTCCTTCTGAAGTCAGAGCAAAGGCATGGCCACTTTTGTAGTGAAGTCTCAAGAAACCCTGAGCTGAGGTCTTCCCTGTCTTCTATCCTGGACATCTGCTTTCCCATGGAGTTTGGCCTGGGAATATCATGAACCTCAAACAGAGTGGGGGTCAGAAAAATTCAGCCCCATCATTCATAAGCTTCCTGATGTCTGGCAAGCCTCTCACCACCCAGCACCCTTGCCCCGAGTACCAAATAGAAAAGTGAGGGGCCACACTTCCCTGGAGTTGATGCAGAGGGCTGTGTAACTAAACCACCTTTAGAGACATGAATGGCCTGAGGAAGTGGAAGAGAGAAGACAATCAGACAAACTCCTCTCCCTGTAAACATTTTAAATCATACAGTTGAGCACTTGGTTCCAATGATGAAAACTCTCTTGAGTCTTTACATTGAAATAAATCTGCCAAGGATTTTCCTGAGCAGAAAATCATCAACATTCTGACGCACACAGTATGTAAGTGAGACCCTCATGTCAGCTGACACAAGAAATGAGGTCAGAAGGTAGAATTTATGAGTCACACTGATTCATAAACATCTATAATTAGGATGCTGAGACATGGCAACCTCAGTATTACCCAGGGTTTCCCTGGTTTTAATAAACTTTCCACTAAGTCCAGAGTCTCATAATTAAAGCAGTCTGTGATTGATGGATATGGAGTTCTCAAAGTTACTTACCTTACACTGTAGCTTCCTCAAGTCTGATAACCCGAATCTGAAGATTAAGTACCTGATGTTCAGAGAAGAATCTTAAACTAGTAAATGTGATTGTTTAGCTTTTCTTTGCATGAAGCACCAGGGAGCATGAGAGGCAGAACACAGACCTTCCAACCTGAAGACGTTCCGTGCTGTGAAGAGAAGCAGAGCAAAGAGGAACAGAAGGCAGGAGACGCTGCAGGCGGGAGCGGCTGCTGAGTCAGAGTGAAAAGGTGCAGTGGCCTGGCCTGGAGTGATGTCCTCTTGGCACAAGGGCAGGCAGTCTCATGGACTTTTAAACTAGACAAGGACAGGCAAACAAGTCAATGACCTGGAGACAGAACAGCCTGAGTCTTAAGTGCCCAACAGCAGGCTTGCAGAAGTTGTGACAGTGCTACATTATGTAGGCTGCAAAACACACAGAGATGGAGGGGCTTAAATAGGAGAGCTTGCATCATGGTGTGGACCAGTGGTCCCATCTGGAAGGAGTATGACATCAGAATGTTCATCCCTATGGGTGTCTTTGTCCCTAGACTACAATTACACAGTGCACATAAATGTGACAAGTCTCTTCACCCTACTTTTCTTTTAATTAAGGAAAATATAACCTTTCAATTTATATGGAATTACAATAATTAAATTGTCCCCATATAATTTGGGTTGTGGGTCCCTGAAATTCCAACTAAATTGCTTCTTTTCCTTGACTTTTTTGTGGCATTACTTTGGAAGTTTCTTTCCTTTTTCACATCCCCAATCTATATGCATTCTTCTCTTCAAGGAAAATCCAAACTTGTGAAGGCAGTACTGTCTTTTCAGAGATACTGCATTTTGGGGCTGGGGATATGGCTCAGTTGGTATAGTGCTTGCCTTGCATGTACAAGGCCCCAGTTCAATTCTCAGCATCACATACACACACAAAAAAAGATACTGCATTTCAGGCCATCACTTAAGCATTCGCTTGGCATGTGATCTTCATGTCTTATACATTAGGAAGCTATCAGCATTGCAAAGCACTTATTTGGGATGGTATCTGCAACATCCATGTTATAAGGCATGATTTACTGCAGCTTTGCAGGCAGGATTGTATGACGGGGAAAAAACGCAGGCTTTGGAATTTGCTGCTTGGGTGTGAGTCTCAGCTCTGCACTTCCGTGAACTTGAGAAAGTATCTAACTTCTCTGTGCTTCAGTTTAGCAGATAATCAAATTTGAACTTCTCTGAATTGTTATGAGGATGATCTGAGAATATACATCCAGCTCCATGGTTTTTTGGCCCATACGTGTAAATGTCAAATAGTACTGGTGATAGTCACAGTATATGTATGTTTTTATGTTTGGTTGTTAATCACAGTGTTATTGGTGAGAGATCGTGGACAGGTGGAATAGGAATTTGTGATGGGTGTACTTGTCCTGGATCCTCATCACAGGTGCAGATAGTTTCTTCAGAAGAGGCTTGAGGGTTGCATATGTGTGACAATGGCACTGAGAAATATCAGGACAGTGGGATGTCACTCTGTAGGGAGCAGGGCCAGTCAAACTAATCTAACACAGCACTTTGGAAGATGGAAATAAGGTACTTGGCTCACTC